CCAGAGTGCTGGCTGGGGAATTCTGGGAGTTGAAGTCCACACCTCTTCAAGTTGCCAAGTTGGGAAAACACTGGTCTAGAAACTGGATTTTTCTAGTTAACTGACAACTGAGATCGCAAGATTCTGAGTTCAGTGCAGTTGTAAAGTTCCTGAAATCTAGCCAGGTTGCTCCCCCAATTGTTCATCCTAACACTTACCGGTTCCTTCGCCAGTGTTGTGGGACTCAGTTTCGATTACATTGCTTTGAACCTCACCGGCTTCATTGCCTACAGCGTCTTCAACATCGGACTCTTTTGGATCATCCCCGTGAAGGTACCCAGGTCCCGTCTTCCCTTGCTGGGCGTCATCTCCCACCTTAAGCCACCAGTTTTGACCTAACTGCTTTGTCTTCCTACACAGGAGCAGTTCCTGCGCAGGTATCCCGAAGGTGTGAACCCCGTAGACAGCAACGATGTGTTTTTCAGCCTCCATGCGGTTGCCCTCACTTTATTCATCATCTTCCAGTGCTTAATCTACGAGGTAGCCCCAGTTGGGTTCTAAGACGTTGCTAAAATCATTGCTAGATTTTGAGACTGTAAACTGATAATCAGGGCCTTTAGTTTTGTGGCACCCTCCACAGCAAGGCTGGGCAGCCTGGTTTTATAAAGACTCTGCAAGAAGTACAAGCATCTCTCCCCTCCCTGTGTGGATGAGGGAGAAGGGAAGCCTATCCAAATGTTTGTGAAAGAGACGGTCGCTCTCACCTCCTTTCATTTCTGTCCCTAAGGAAATGGGACTTTGACAGTGAAGGGCTTGGGATAAATAGCCTGACAGCCAGCTGAGTCCTCACGATCAAACCAGGTCAACCAACGTAATGCAGAGTGAGGAAGAGTTAGCCAACAATGTTGTGAGTCTGTGAATTGGGCCCATTTTTCCTGATCGGTGTTAAAGATCAAGCATTGGAGATAGACCCCAAAGAGAACATGATGTTTAGGAAGCTGTAGGATTTTTTTTTTCTTTCTCATAATAGAATGTGGGGACTTCCCAATGATGCTGAGTGGGAAGAGAAACTGAAGGTTTTCCTTCATGCAGGACAGAATGGGTTTAGGGAATCGCTGCCACAAAGCCAGTGATGCCCTCAGGACTTAAAATCAGGAGGAGTTGGTAGCAACGTTTCTGACTAACACGTTTTATTCAAAGGTATCAGCTTTGGGGAACTTCAGCTCCCTTCAGTGAAGTGGGTAGACTGAAGTAGGATTTAGATTTTATTGTTATATGTTGTTCGCGTTTTTGTCCTTTCGGAACAACGGTGCCTAATGCTTTTGCAAAAATCAGGAGGAGTCTGGGAGCACCTTTTCCGACTAATGTTTTATTCAAAGGCATCATCTTAGTGAGGTAAAGGTGCTACCAGACTCTTGATTTTTGGCTACCGTAGATTAACACACCTCTCCTCCTTCAAAGCCCGACAAAAAAAATTAGTAGTACCCAGTCGTTTTATTTATTCAGTTTCACTAATCATGAGTCAGAGCCAAGACTGGCTGGTTTCCTTCTCTGTGATTCAAGCGCGACATGAGGTTTTGGGAATTGTGAAGGTCGTGCCTAATGATGCACAAAGAGCCTAATGGTGCTGCTGTTTGCAGCTGGGCTGTTGTAAGTTGTTCCAAACTGAAGCAGTCCAAATTCTGTTTAAGTCCTTGTGGTGCTGCACCCGATGCCCTAATAATTGGTACTACCATCAAGATCTTCCAGATTTTTGCAATCTCTCTTTGCAAATCTCAGTGTTTTGTAATCTTCTCCAAGTCCTTGTCTTCAACATTACAGTCTCTTGGAATGGCTACATCAATAAACCAACCATGGTCCTTTTCAATGACAGTCAAATCTTCTGGTTATGTTCTGGGTGTCTGTCAATCTGAACGTAAAAATCCCATTCAGTTTCTGCTCTGTTGTGTTCAGTGACTTGATCTCTGATTTTGTTTCTCTGATCATTCTAATTCACTCTGAATGCATACATTTTACATACTTTTTTTTCTTCCTAGCATTTTCCCAGAGGTGCAGGGTCTGCTTTTTTTTTTCCAGATCAACCCAATGTTGATCCATTGGTTTCGACAGGAATTGACCGGCCGGCTTGTCACCCGAGCCTGACGTCGTGGGCTGAGAGAGAGGCCCAAAGTCCCCCAGCCGGCTTTCATGCCTAAGGCGGGCCAGAACTCACCGTCTCCTGCTTTCTAGCCTGGAGCCTTAACCACTAGACCAGTCTCATGTAATATCTTCCCAACTCTTTTCTGCAATCAGTTTGTGTGATTTGCTGCACCCAGGTTTTATTTTTCATTTCTTGTTATTGATTAGATGGCATTAAACCAAGAGTAGCTTGATGAGCAAGGGAGCGTCACCGGTTGTGACGAAACCTTCATTTTCAGAGGCAGTCAGCCAATTGCTAGGGAAAATTGTAGCCTTTGGGGTTTTTAACTGTATTATGTTCTTATGCATGCATATTTCTGTGAGCCACTGAGAGTCCCTGTGATTGCAGTGGGATATAAATTTGATTAATAAATAAATATACTGCTTAGAGATTTTTAGAAGGAAACTGAGGATTTTGGATTATGCAAGATGTTATCCAAATTCAGCAGGAATGTTTGCAGACTGAAAACATTCCTCTGCCTACAGGCCCCCCAATGGCAAATTCCTTTGCCACCCGAGTTCACCCCTGAATTCCTTCCATTCAAGCCCCCAGGGAACTCTTTTCTCTCCAGCTTAGTGATTTCGGATGCCAGATTCTCACTGGAAAACTTTGTCTCTTTGCTTCCCCTGCAGAAAGGGAACCAGAAGGTTTCTATAGTCGCCATCGGGTTTCTGGTCGCTGCGTGGGTGTTTGTCTTTGCCACTTTGAGTGTGACCATCGCCGGAGAAATCACGTGGCTCCAATTCTTGTTTTATTTCTCCTACATCAAGCTGGGAATCACGCTCATCAAATACTTTCCCCAGGTGCGTGAAGTAGGAATGGGTTCTGGGTTGCTCGACTCTCTTCCCCCAAGGACCCCGGGACCCACACTTTTTTCTCGCCCGAGGGAGACAAATGCACCCCCACACACGCACGCACGCATGTGAACCTTAAATCACTCAGAGCACTTGGCAGCCCCTGGGATTGCTCTGAAAATTAATTGGTATTTGACTCTTAGCAGCAGCTAAGAAGAAAAGTGATAAAACGGGGCATCACCGAAAACCCGGTTGAAAGAGGAACCGTTTCTGGGGGGTGGGGGAAATCACATTGCTGACAGCTGTACAAAAGCAGCTGCATTTTCAAAGGCTGTAGCGCTTTTACATCCGCTGAAGTGAGCCTTGGATCGTGGACCACAAAGGCATCGTGTTGCAAAGCTTTTTTAATGCTGTGTTACTTCTGACAGCCATCAAGGTGCCTCCTCTTGGAGAACCACCCAGTTTCAGGGTCCGGTGGCACTCGTCCAATCTGGGCTGTGTTCAACAATCCTAAGTGGGTGGATTCAAACAGTGCTGGGATGGAAGACCACCAGGAGATCCAAAGGGGGTAAATTAGGCTAGGAAGATGAAAAATCATACCGATGGCAAAGCATTCTCATATGGTACCAAGAAGGCACCACAGATGATGTGACCAGGAGCCAAGCTTGATTCGAAGGAGGCTTGACTCCTTCCCATCTCTTAACACAGAGAGCTGGCTATGGCCACCTCCCCTTTCCACTTTCTCCCTTGCCAGAGTCGCCCACAGACGGTCCGTATTCCAGGGCACCCGCACATTTGTTGAAGGCTCATTGAGCTGCATGTCCCATTCATTTTTTTCTCTCTCTCTCTCTCTCTCTTTCTCTGGCCCAGTTTGGGCTGCTGAAATATTGGAAGTCCATAAGGGAGGGTGAGACTCGTGAAAGAATCAGGAGTCCGACTAAAAGCCCCGTCTGCCAAGGCGATGCTGCGGGTGCTTCCGAGAAGCCCTCTCCCCATTGCCACCCCATTTTCACAGGCCACCCACTGCGATTCCAAGGAGATTTGCGTTTCTCTTAGTGTTACAGGGCCTAACCTGCTTTTTTCTTTTTTCTTTTAATTTATATTTTTTACACACACACACACACACAATTAACAAAACAATCTAAACTTAAATAATAGAAACCAAATGAAAAGAAAAAACAATAGAAACAAAGAATCGCAAACAAACTAAGAAACGGGGAAAATACTTATTAATAATCACTGGTTTACTAATAAATACACTACTATAATATAATCAATACAAAATATTATTAGGAAAAATCACAACATCTCTGCCATAGTAACACCTATCGCTGCATCCTTTGATTAGTAGACAATATTGCCTTTTCAAAACAGATAGATCGCCCATTTCCAACCGCCATTCCTTAAAATCTGGAATAATACCATTTTCCCAATTTCTCACCTGCTTTCTTAAGTGGCTAGCTCGGCTTGTAAGCTGCATTTGCCTCGTCACCTGTGGTGAGTTAGTCTCTCTTAGGTGATTGTTCGGGGCCAATCCAGCGGCTCTTTTCTTTGTGGACCCATTGCGCAAAGAGCACGTGCGACATTGGGGAGGACCAAATGTTAACTTGTTTGAGGTCTTGGTTGTGGGAGAGATGCTCTTTTCCAATTGCCCGGCATCCCTGTTGTCAGGCCTAGCCCAAGGAACTCCAAGAGACC